CGACGCTTATACAGCATCGCGATGTCCCGAATTACGTTCGAACAAATCGGCGCCGCATCATAATTCGATGCGATGCCGTGCAATTCAAATAAAGTCGATCGCGTGAAGATGGTTAGCTAGAAGCGATTTCAAATTTATTTTATATACGCGCAGTGCTGCACAGCCTATCTCGTAGGGCTGCCAACTGTTAAGGTGCAATTTCATTGACGCTAAAAAGTAGCGTCAATGAAAAGGCCGCTTAAGGCTATAGCACACGAATCACTGGCTGCGTTCAGCAGAAAAAGCTGCTTTACAACTGTTGTAAAATTTGTGAATCTGATTGGATATGCTCTTAGATTCAGCCAAAATTAAGAGCATACACCAATCAGGCTCACGAATTTTACAACAGTGCAACTGTTTGCTTTGCAAAAGCAGCTTTTTCTGTTAAACGCAACCATTGGCGCGTACTGTACATATTTAAAACAACCTAACCTAATTTAACTTGCTGATCCGGAGTAAAGTGAAAAGAAAAAAAATAGATTGCAGTGACATGTATCCATATGTTTGAAAGTGCAATTTTTACGCTAAAGAATGCATGTTACGCTATTGAAGATTGTGTAACGACACGTCTTGTATTCATATTTTGATAAAAATCCCGCCATTTAACAATATTTATCGATTTTTCAATGTTCAAGAAATCTAACCTTAAAATTGAATATAGAAGAAGAAAAGATTTTTCACAGAAGAAATGTTGAAATATTTAATCAGAAGAAGAACAAGGTATTAGATTAACGAATAAAATATCATAAAATAAAATAAATTATTCGCAAGAGTCTTTGTGATTTTAAAATGATTTTTATGTATTTATTATTGTTCACAGTCTCTCAAAAATTGTGCGCAATGGGGGAAGCGAATGTGTGCTTTCAAATTGACACTGACAATCGTGAGAATTTCTCATCTGGCCTTGCATTTCACGCCTTTAGAAAACAGAGGGATGCCTTTTACGATATATTGAGAATTTGGGAGGAAAATCACTTGGTACCAGGATGGGTGTTCCAAATTGCATTAGGCGGTAGAATACGAAGTATGTTGACAATGCACAATGATTCTACTAATTATTATCACATTGCTAGGTTATTTAAATCACAACTACTGATATCATGTATACAGAAAGGACATCAAGTAAGTTATTGGTATTTTTTTCTAGTTAAGTAGTAAAATTCTTAATGATATAATTGTACAATTTTCAGGATATGGTGGATGATGAGAGCTTGAATTTTTTAAAATCCTTGAAGCATGTTAATCCTGAAAAATTGACACAACTCAGTAAAAGATTTGTAACTCCTTTGCCATCGCAAAGTCAGATTCTTGGTCCTTCATTTCCTGGCATGCAAGAATTTTTTAAAGATTTTATATTGCATGCATTTCATCCAATATTTTATACACATCTGGAAAATTGTTTTATACATGAGATAATAGAGCTAAATGACACTCAGTTTGCTAATAGTGAAATAGAGGATTCAGGTATGTTTTTTATCATTTTAACAACTATTTATAATAGATATGAGATTTTAGAAATATAATATTTTTTTGTTGCTTGGTTTGCAGATACAATGGTTGACGAACAAACACAAGAAAATTTTATTACTTGTTTAGCTAGTTTAAGACTTCTTGCAAAAGTATTAGGACTTTTAGTTTCATTGCCCTACAGATCTGAATCTAATACTACTAAAGAAATTATAACAACACAAATAGAGATAAGAAGCAAGGTATGTGATAAAAATTATGAACAAATGTTAAAAGCTGTTTTGTTTAACAAATTCTCAATATTTGCAATTATTTTGTTATCTAGGTTTTACCATCATTAAACTTACAAACATGTCTCCAAAACGCTATAGTTGAAGGTAAACTTTCATTGACAATACCTTGGATGGTCAAATATTTAGCTATGATGGACACAGTATCGCTACGGCTACCGTATTACAAGCAGATCTTGGAATTATTATATTATATTTATCATGCTATCAATCAGACCAATCTTTCCGCTCCTGATAGTCTTATTTCCCAACAAGCTGCTGTATTGCTCAAATCAAGTCTGTGCTGGTTATTCGAGCTATCAAACTATCCCAAGGATTTTCACATTGCCTGGCAGAATACTTGCAAAGTTAAAGAATTGAAGAGTCTCAGACAGATAGAAAAATTCTCTGAAAAGAGAAAAAATTCACATTCCACAGATTGCGCAATTCGCGTTAAATGCAATCTCGATAAATTAGATATAATTACTGACCGAACAATGCGTTCCTGCTGTTCGCGAATAGAATCGACTCTTTCTGTGTTTCATGGGAATGGCACGAATTTGAATATCAACTCCAATAAACATATTACACCTGTTACCAGTCAGCTGCGTAAATTAGGAGGCACTACTCGAGCAAAACACTTGGAAGTATGTATATTATTATATTTATATTTCTAACATACATATATGCATCGCTCTATTTGTGTTATATGAAGATATTTTTATATTTTTACAATTTGTTTTATTTTATATAATAGTTGCAACTAGAGGAGGCTTTTTTTCATGGTCAACCGGCTTCCACTCGAAAAACTGTCGATTTTGTTTCTGAAAGAGTTGCATCTACCTGTGTAAAGTATATATGTAATACCATGTTAGCTTCGTCGCGAGAAACAAATTTAATTTCCTTCAGGAAAATTTTAATACATAAACATGTCGAAAAAGACTCCGACGAGCAAAGCGAAGTATCGATAAATTACTATAACCAATTTAAGGTAACACACGTATATTTATAAAGAAAATTTTATATTACATCGATGCAAAATTTTAAATTGCGTTTTGATATTCAGGCTTCGCTCTTGAGTGATATAAATATGTTAGCGAATAAAGTGTCAAAAGATTTGAAAGATCAATGCGAACAAATAATTCCATCAATTTGTGAGACACGAATCGCAACATCAATTGAATCTTTACTGGCAGAAGACTCTTTAACAGCGGTCAAAGAAATGTGTATAAAAATTGCGACCAGAATGGCAATGGAACGAATAAATCAATGGATTCAATCACATATTGTTGGTGGTTCCTTATTTATAAAGGATATGGAACTTGAGATTAATAGATTTTTCCGACACAATAGTCCTGTGCACTCTAAACAAGAGAAATGTCACAACAGAGATGCTCCTAGTCCTACTGCAGTGATAGATGAACTTCGGGTAAGGATATATCTGTCACTTAAATGTAAAAACTTTAGCATAATAAGTTTTAGATAAGCTTTATGTTATATAATTGATACAATAAATATATTTTTCCAGGCTATAAGAATATTTTTTAGCTTATGTCATTCTTACAATAAAATTAACTTTAAATTAATTAAATTTAAATTTAAATTAATATTAAAAACTTTAAATTATTAATATTTAAATATATTAATGTATTTTATTCTTGTTTATAGGGATTAATATGGAGCATATTAGATAATAATGGTGCAGATTTACCTATGTCATCCATATTGGATATTTTAAATAAATTGTATCAAGTTTTTGATCAAAGAAACGATCTTTTACCTGGACCACAGAAAATTTTGTCTTATCTCAGCACCGACTTTGCATTATTTTTAGGTATGTTTATAATAACACCAAAATGTTAAAAATGAAATTGAACAATTAAGTAATATTTAAATAATAAATAATATTTAAACAATAATTTCACGTTTTTAGTTGCCTACAGAACAGATTTTTTCACACAAGAGGTCCAGGACAAATTGATTAAAATATGGTCATCAAACGGTTTGACAGATGATGAAGCTGATTCGTCCATGAATAGGCTCTTATGTTCGAGAAATATAATGTTGTTGGCGCAACCGCAAAATGATACGATATGGCCGATTTTCGGCAAATTTCTAAAAAGATTATTAGAAACAAACATACTTGACGGAGATAGTTTGAGTGATCAGTGTGTAGCTTTATTCAGACAAGATTGGCCCATAGTGAGTACATATACAATGCCATATTATTCATTAATGACAACAATTTATTAATATTAATCCTCTTGTTTGCAGCCTTTGTTGAAACTTTTATCAAAGTGCCTGAACGAAGCTATCGAGGGTTATAAAGCTACCGATGAGGCGACGGAGAAAGTCAAGTATCTTCTTGGCTGGGTAGCGGAAACATATCATGAGATTGAATTTTGCAACGATTACAGTTTATAGACTGACGCATAGTAAAATATTTACGATGCTGCGATAATCGGAAAGTACGATTGTTTAAATAATTTTCTGTAAATATAATTATTGCATCTCTCCTCTTTCTCTTTTTACATATATTATCATATGTGTCAAATTTTTAAATGACGCATCCTTGTTCTATATATGATCAAAGATGCGTACGTACAATCTGCGGGTGTATATCGACGAATATTTTACGAGAAAGAAAATAAATTCTAATTTTTTTGTATATGCGACAGTTATATTAAATATATAACAATATATATTTTATAGTTAACGAATGTCCCTCTATGTTATTCCCGTCGTTTGCGAGCGTACGCATCGAGATAAATCGTTAAGCGCGAATTTGTCAAAATCTTGTTGCCTTGAGTTTGTTTTTAACAAATTAGATTTTATCCTATTCCATTCCTGTGACTCCAAATATTTGTTTATTATTTTTCCGTTCTATCTGATTAATGTATTAATTTATCAATCAATGGCATACGACTACGTAATAAATTTTGCGTCTTCAAAATTTTTATTGTCAAATCACACAAGTCAATTCATGAAAAAAATGATCTCACTTGAAACTTTTCCGATTTTTTAATCTTTTTGGATTATGCCTTAACTAAATGAAATATAAATAGTTAATAAATAGAAATATAAATAGTTAATAAATAGTTAATTGAACGAGACAATTAAAATTTTATTAGACAAAAATTTTCGTTAATATTGTTCGTTAATAAGAGTAATAAACTTTATTGGACAATTTTACAGGATTGGTTTATTAACTTGTTAATAGACAAATTAGCTCATCTCTGTAACGAGTTATGTTTAATCTCAATAAACGTATACTCGATTACACATTCGCTAGAATTAATGTTTTAAAAAAATCATACTTTGGCATGTGTCATAGTTTAAAGTACTCACGTCTCCGCAATTCCTTGTCCCGAGGGTGCTTTTCCATCTCTCCGAGGTAATATAACATGCACCGTTATCACTGCCAGACACACAGGCTGCTACAGCTAGTATCAAGATTGGCTGTATAAATCTCACGAGATCAGAGCATATAAGTAACTTATTAATGAAACTTCATAGATCCAAGGTTAGCAAACAATTCATTATATTATACATAATTTTTAATATTATATCAAGAATATAAATTATTATTTCGTAAAAATAATTTATTAGTCTTGTTCTCTTTATATCTGTAACTTATAAAATTAAAAAAAAAATATGTAGAAATTATGCATTCTCTAATTTCAGTTTTTAATTTATATTTTTTGCATAGAATCTCTCGAAATAAGTACGATAATCCATGAAGATCTATTTTTTTGAACGGTCCTGTTACTCCCCGTCGACACATTGTCACGACACAACGGGGATGGTCCTTTTGTCCTTTTGAAATTGGGTCATCTACCTTCGTTCCATTACCATAACTCTCAATGGTCGTCCACCCTCTCACCCGATGGTGGTATCTAATCTCGACTCGTTTCTCGCGAATGATCGCAAATTTTCCTCGTAAGTAGCAGATAGACATTTTCTTTCATAATTTATTCTGTAATCTTTTATTGATCGATATTAGATAGAGAAATTGATGCATTCAAAAGAAAGAATAATGACAATCGTATTAATAGAAGAATGTTTAATTTATTTTATATCTATTTTTTATGTCCAATATATATCGTTAATGTAATTTTCTAAAACTATGATATCCTATGACGCGATCAATTATTAATTATTTTTAATAATTTTTTGAAATGAATATTAAATGTGCAATATGTTATTATTTATTTTAATTTATTTTGATAATCATTATCTATTTTATTAAAAGATGCAATATTATATAATAATTTATAAACATTTTTATTCTTTATTTTCAAATTAATGACAAAATATATTTTGATTATATATGTTATTAAAATTATTAGATTAATTTAAAGTTATATTAATTATGAAATTGATTGAATTTAATTTAAAATTTTGCAAAATGTTATATATTAGTCAACAATTTTCACTTGCAATGTCTTATATTTTAATTGTTTGCGCACGTTATTTTTTATTGCCAAATTGGATATCCTCTGTTTAAAAATTTCGCGTTTTTAATCTTATTCGAACAATATGATTTTAAAAACAATAATGGTTTTATGCTAAATTTCCGAACGTATTTATTAAATAAATATTTTATTAAATAGGTATCGAGATTCCGTTAAAAATAGGTATCGAGATTCCGTTAAAAATAACGTTTAAAAAATATTTTGATAATAATTTTACAAGGGAGCATTTTTTGAACACATATTTATTGATTATATTCTTTTATTATTTCTTGGTAAATCTCAAATTGATGCAGTTAAACTAAAAGTCATGTATATGCAAATTTCACATTAATGATCTTATCTTAATCTGACTTCAACAGAATATCGTAGCGCGAGAAAAGCTTAAATATTTATCAAGGATGCAATTCAAAGGATGTTTTCTAAATGTGTTCAAACATAATTTTCTCGTAATTTTGTAAACAGTTTTTAACATAAAAATAGTATTAAGTACACACATTATTATTTAACTTCTTTAAGGCTATTGATACATATATGTATACTTTTAGTTTAATGTACAAAATAACACACAATAGCCACATATATGTTATATATTTTATTTTTTTACATATATTATTTTCCTCAGAAATTTTAAAACATTTTTTTATTCAATAATTATATTTTTATTATTTATTATTTAATAATTATATTATTAATAATTAAAAATATAATTATTGAACAATTACTTTATTATTAATAATTATATTCTTTTTATTTTATTTAATAATTCTCTATTTCGAATACATAATTAAAAAAAAAGGATAAGATAATTTTTTCCATTAATGAAATCATCCCTTTAAAGAGGGTTAAACGGAATAATTTTAAAAATAAAAAGGGAGGAAACGTGCATGCATACTTGTTCGTGAATACATCATTCGCGCGTACGACCGAGCCGTTCCGTTCCCCCCTTTGAAGATTGGGGGAAACTTCACGCTGTTGCGCGCGTACGTCATGCGCGGCGCAGTTCCGCGCGCGCGTTCGCGGAGCGCGAACGGATCCTAGTCGTGGTCGCAGTCGCGGTCCACGGCCCGTCGTGTTCGCATTTGTGCTCGTCATTTCCGTACTTTCCGGTACTTTTCCCTTAACTCGCGATCATCTACGATCGAGTCAGTTGCCCGGTGGAAGCGATTCGTTGATTCGCGATTCTTCTCTTCCTCGCGATCGCGACGCTGAGCTTCCGGCTCGTTCTCGTTTCTTTCGACTACGACGCCGAAAGGATCAAGAAGGATCAAAAAGGACGCTTTCGGAGGCGCACGATCGAGAAATGACAATCGCAATCGATTCTGAGAAGATTCTGGACGCCACGTAATAACGGTAAAAGATCTCGTTATTCAATTATTTTCGATGTCGCGAGAGTAAATTCTTGATGTAATATTGCTATTTTCAAGACACAAGCATTCTCAACTCGAGCTTTTATCAGCGTTCGATTTCATTGAGCGAAAGATGCGTGAATCTTATTTTCGGAGCGCGAAAGAATTCCATGGGATATTTTGATCGAATTTTTCAAAATTTTCAAAACCGCCATATTTGCTAATTTGTGCGGTAATTTTGTCGCATCGCGAAGTTAGTTTCACGTCTATAAAAATGATCCGACTTCAGACATGACGCCATCGAAAATCGACAGTGTTGATTTGTGATATATTTGATCGATCAATTTCCATAATCATTATTTTTATTATTGTCGAATCTTTTTTCAGATCAGTGTCACCGGAGCTCGTGACGTTCGCGAGAGCGGAGTTCTTCGAAGGCTGAATGCGCGACGGGACGTCGTCGATACCTAGCCCTAATTGTATGCGGTGGCAAAGTGATAACAGTCGGAGAGAATCTTTCCTCGACGCAGAGGTACCGGCCGGTACCGGCCTCTCATCGGAGCACGCGAATCGTCTGTTTTGCGCGTATCACGTGACTCGTGCTGTGGATCATCGTGTCGAGAAATGTGATTGACCCAATTGCAGCTGCAGCTGCCAGTAGATCCATCAATTTCTATAATTTTGGCGACGCGTTTTCATCAAGTACACGAGGTAAATTGTACTTTAAGCTAAGAACGAAAGAGAGATACATACTCTTTTTGATCTGTTATAAATTATTATAATGATTTATATAATAAATAAATTATTACAGCATTTAACATATCAAAAATTCGAGTATTTTGCCAGGTTAGAATACGTACTCGATTTTTTTGATCTGTTAAATGCTGTAATAATTTGCTTATTATATAAACTATTATAATATATGTATGTTAATATATGTAAAGTTTGGTAATATATAAAATATATATTATAATATATATTTAGTAAATTGAGAAAAATATGTGTTGAAATTCACTCAATAAAGAATGAATAAAATAAAATATATAATTTTCATAAAATATATTTATAGAAAATCATATTTATTTATTATGTTGAAAATATATAATTTTTATTTAAAGAATTTTGCATAACCAATAATCAATATTTAATATATTTAATATAAAAAAATTTCAGAAGTATTTCTATATTTATTTTATATTAATTTTGAATTTGAAACAATATTATAATAATAAGTATGTGAATTATACAAATGTTAATTCAAATTTTATATTATATTCTTTAATCCTATATTCTTTCTTTATATTTGATAATTCTTAACAAAAATTAAAAATTAAATAAAGAATTTAGAAGAATGTATTTTTAAAAATATTTTCATAAGATTATGACAATATTAAGATACTTTGTGATTTATACATAATTTATTTAACATGCAGAAAATAAAATGATAGAAAATTAATTTTTTTATATTAAATTTGCTTTAAACTCACTTTAGATGATTTAAAGTCGCAATAGAACTCGGAAGAGAATTTTATTTATAATTTTGCACAACATGTAATGTAGAAAACATTTGAAGACACATCTCACAAAATATATACACATCAAATTATAAATAGAATTCTGAGTTTTGCTGTTGATTATAGAAATCGTCCAAAATGTCAAATAAAATTTCTTTCGAGAGAAAATGTACCGATATTCAAATAGTGACGATAAATATGAGCAATATTTTTCTTCGTAAATAAAATCTCGAAGGCTCCAACTCTATGTACATGTCAGTGCAAAATAAAAAATTTTGCTCTCCTCTGATAAAAGATCGTCGCATTTTGTCGTATGTTCGTTGCGGAATTATGCAGTCCGATAAACCGATGCATCGTTTATCCATTGGCCGCGGTTCGCTATAAATACACTATGATCCGGAAATATACTGCGGGAAGTTGAGGCTCGAAACAAAGTGAAACGACGGATATCGATGAAAGGATATCATGCGCATGTTCATCGAACGCGATATTATTTATCATGCATTTTTATTAAGCAGTTGTCAACAAGCGATTTTCGACAGATCATGGAATATTATTTAAGCGTTATCACGTAGTCAGCAATTGATATAATTAATGCAACATACCTCAATTTATATTGTACTTGTAATTGTACTTGCGAACGATTGCTCGAGTAGATCACGTTCTCAATACATCAGATATGTCGACATCTCGTGTTTCGAAATTATATTACACAAAATAGAACAATCTCTATCGTATTATTGTTAACAATTAAACAGATAGGTTATCGGTTATTGCAAAATTCTTTAAATAAAAATTATACATTTTCAACATAATGAATACATGTGATTTTCTATAAATATCTTTTATGAAAATTATTTTATCTCATTCGTTTTTCAATTGTCATTCGTTTTACAATTTAAGATAATTAAAAGAAATTGATCCATATTAATTATGCAATTTTTATTCAGATATTAATAACATTTTTAGAAAATTCTAAAGAGACTACAAGTAGATGTATAAAAACGTTAAATTTTTTATTAATTTCAATATATACTTTCGCGATATTTCATTTCTGTAATGTAATTAAAACATTTAATATTAAAAATTAAAAATGATAATTTAAAGAAATTTAACATTTAATTAGGAATAAACCACTTTTATATTTTCTTAAGAAATATTAATATCATAATCGAAAAAAAGTAATGAATTCCAGAGTATGTATAATTATCTCTTATGAGAATTATCGAAATATGAAGAGAAAGTAGAAAGAAAGAAAATTTACAAAGGAAAATATTATGCAAATATTAATTATGCGCACGTGTTACAACGCATAGCTGAAATAAGTTTTATACGAGAAAAGTACAATTTTCGCGCGCTTTTACATCGTGAATACCGAATAAGGGCCAGAAGCTTGTTAATGTTTCGCAGCAGTTTCGGCGTTATATATCCTGCCCTAAATAAGGGTATCCTGAAATTCTCAAAGTATGAGCGATGAATTTTTCTTGTCTAAAATGCATTATCATAGAGAAAGGAAAGTCGTGTTACATGCAAAGTCTTATCGATTGTCACGTTCAATTAGCATGTGAAATAAAAACTTTAAACTATAGAATATAATTATAACAAAATTGTGAACAAAAAGTTTTATACATTTTTGTTAATTTGATTTTGTTAATTTTATTAATTAATGATTAAGTTTGTGTAAATTTCGCTCCCTTTTAATATTGTTTTAATAATGTTTTCTATTTTAATTATATTTATATCAAACGAATATTTTGTATTAATATTAATTGGTTATTAGTGACATTAATGTTAATTTAATTAACAATATGTAATGTTAATTTAATAACAAATTTGAAAATGTATTATTAATTTGATATTATGTGTAGCTTATAAAAACATTTAAAATGAACGTAAATGTGATGTGAATAATGAGTAGAGTCGTAAGAAATACATAATAGAACATTTATGCTATTCGCGCAAAGTTTAGATTATTAACCGAGAACTTTAAAACTAATTCAATTCAAACTTGATGGTTGAGTAAATAACCTTAAAATTAACGCAGCATGCGCAGTGTATTATTATTAATTTAAAAAATCTCATTTACTAGTCAGTTCGCGAGAAAGATCGATAAATTTGTCGTTATGTGAACTCTCTCTTTGCTCGTACATCATTGCCTAAAGTTGACAATGCAAATATTGTGCTCACAATTAACAAGTTAATTACGTTCCATTGGTCAACATCGACGTCGAGTATAAACATATTTTGTATATTTTCGCGTTCGTTTTTTGTAGCGAAATTTGCATACATAAATTATAAAACCATACACAATGGTTGCAGGTGATGGAACCAATTTTGTTCAGGCAAATAAATGTTTTAAATGAAGTATATATGTGTGTGTGTGCAAATACACACACATACAAAAAGTCATTTGTCTTTTATTAATTATATTATTGAAAATGTGTCATTGATTAATATATTATTGGAAAAATAAAATACACTTGTGATATTTCTTTCATTTAGATTTTCAGTTTGTGATTTTCACTGAAAATAAGACAAAAATATCTGAATAAATATTATATACAATATTAAGAGAGCTTATTTTACATAGATATAAAGCCATTATATTCTCATTAAATATATTTATCGTCAAAAATATTATAATTATACTTTAAATTTCTAATATAAGAAAAATTATTTTAATAGAAAATTAAAATTCGTGACTTTATATTTGTAAATTAATATCCTATTTTTCGGATATAAATTCTTGTTACGTTGATTTTTAATTATATCGTTCAGTCTTTTTTTTTATTTGTAATGCTCGCGCTTTTTCTCTTCACAACATTCAATCGTACGTTGGCGGGATCAGTGATATGGACAACGCCTTAAGCCGACATGCGCTAGACAGTGGAGCGAATTGAAACGAGTCTGGCACTCCGGAACTCGAGTCGAGATCGCGGTTTGCATTGCTCCGACAAGCAATTTGTGGAGAACTGTTCGTGAGGAAAGGACAAGCAATACGCTCTGCAGCTAATTGCTTTTACCACTGATTGAAATTTACGAGCGTCAGAAGCGTTGTAAACATGATGCCGTGACTTTCATTCCGTACGCATCGCAATAACCGTTAATATTCCGCTGAAGATATTTCTCTACTCACACATTGTTCTTATTTGATCGGCAATTTGCTCGCGAATTGCGTTTTTTTTAATTTTTTCAAAGATTGTTGTACGAGGATTTTATAATGTGAAACATGAAGAAAAATTTGCTAATTTTTTTCATACGATTAATAAAATTTCCATTTGTTATCATTAACTTAGTTTTTTCAAAACTGAAATATTCTATAAAAATTCTATTTTTCATACTTTATTATGTCTTTTAATTTATCTTGTACATAGTATTATATCTTTTTTCTAATTATTGAAAATTTACAGAAAGATATAATTATATTACAATTCTGAATGAGAGGAAATAATCATGTGTTATATTTTTACATGTAATTTTCTCAAAGAAATAATATTAAATTTTTATAGAAATTAAAATAAATTTATAGAAATTAAAATTTTTATAGACAATTTTAGAGAAAATAAAATTCTGACATTTTATACGCGATATTCTCTCTTGCTTTGATAACGTTAGAATCAAAATCTACTTTCAAGATTGTATTTTGATATCTAACGCGATGTAATAGTATAACACGAGCAGCGGCTCGAATATATTACAGAGGATTGTTGCCTCCGGTGCGATAACTCTCTGATATCAACGGCATTTCTAGTCAGTTGTCAAAACGTCTGCAAGATTTAATGGTCTTCGTTGCTAATTAAAATTTGCGACGGTGAAAATCGAGGTTATCGCGGTTTCCCCGGATTGCGGTAAACGTTTATTCTCTTCCTTTAGTTCAACAGAGGTGGCCGGATAAATGGCAAAAGTATTTACATCGCTGCTCGCATTAATTTAATTCGAATTAATTAAACCCGCTTTCTATCTCTCGGTTATCCATTTCTTCCTGTAATTGAGTGTGCGGTAATTAAAATTTCGAAAGCAAACAGCTCTCCGCGTTCTCTTTTATACATGTAAATTATATAGCTTTTCCTTTCTAATTATATTGTCTTTAAATTTGCCTTTCAATTGTATCTTATAATTGAATTTATCTTGTCGCAGATGTTGGCGTAACAACGACATGGAGACGCTATACACTGGAGCGATGCATGGCTTTCCACAGCCCGGCGGCGGAATAGCTAATGGCGTTTCCACGGGAATCGCCAGTTCCTTCGACCAGGACGGCGTGTTGAGTCTCATCGTGGTCCTCGGTGGAAGCCTGTCTCTAGTGGCTCTGGTATTCGCATTCATCACGTACAGGTAAGAGACAAAGCGTCTGATATATTCCGATATTATGGAATTTCTTTGTCAAATATCAAAAAATATATATGTTGAAAGAGACAAAGAATATATTACCTATTGTAGAATAAAATAATTATAGAATCATTATACAATATTTATATATACGTGTGTGAAAAAAAGAATATAAAAATATAATAATATAATATAAATATAATAATAATATAAAAATATAATAAATATAATATTTTTTAAATCCTGCTTCACTTTCTATTCTGTATAATATAATTCATAAAATTCATAAAATATTCATAATATCGGTAATATATATTACAAATTATATATATCTTTTCATTTTTGCTGCGGCAAATATATTGCGCAAGAGATATTTGCTTTCGTATTCTGACTGTTTAATTATTACTAGAGAAAGAAGAACTTAATTAAACGCACAGCTTAATTAATCTCTGAAGCGTCCTCTGCTCGATGCACTTTCCTTGTTTTTACTACGTTTAAATTAATCGTTCATTACTTATTTACTTGTTATATAGCGTTGTTTTATTCATATCTCGGCAAAGAATTTAAGCGCGATTGTAGGATTAAATTAGTAATATTATACCTATCCATTTTTTCTTATCAGGTTTCTTTTCGTAAGTGAGATGTAAAAATAAATAAGTTCTGTAAAAATTGAAAATATGTCTCGATTGAATTACGATCGAGATCTATCAATGGCATATTCAAACGCATTTCGTAAGCTTTTACAACTCTTGTTGCGTTATATTTCGTAAAAATATGCAGCAACTTATTCCGGAAATCGGTCAGGAAGTCAAGGAAGTTTGATCTTTAGGTCACGTTTCCTTCTATTTTATCTGCTATTTTCGGCACGTTGGCGATTTCACTTGCGGTTCTTATGGATCGCCGATTCACTACGGGGTACTAATCGGTGTACCCTCTTACGTCGAAAGACGATACCGTCGGAATACCAAACAACCTCTTGTGACCCTCTTTTGTAACTTCGCCCTCGTCTTACGAAAGGAGTATCCGCTTTCCTCGCGTTTTTCCTGCGATATAATTTCTCAATATCGTACTTACGTGGTGCCAACAGAATTTTTATTTCGTCAATAATCGAAAAATCAATGACTGGCGTCCCCATCTCCGTTATAATGACGTTTCGATCTTTATCTTTGAACGTGAATTAAATCGTCGGCGAAGGAATGAAAATGCTTCATGCGCGGAGAAATATCAGAAAGAAAGAGAGAAAGAAAGTGGAGAGACTGAAAAGGAAAAGAGAGAAAGTTTCATGATCGATCATGGTCCATCGCGGAAATTGCCGGGAAATGGGAAAGCGTAGACATGATGTTCCCCATGCTGCTTGGTTCTAAAAGAATCGATCGATCTTGGAAAAAAAGACTGGACAAAAAACTATTGCCGTAAATGGCGTCGATAATACGTACCAAATTTCGATTCTTTATTCCATTTTCCCCTATCAAATGTAAATTCCTTCCTGTATATTATGTTTTTGAAAGATCTCGATCGTGAAAAATAACGACAAATTTTGCATGAAACAAGAATAATCACTGTTAATAGAAATTACCTACACTTTTTTCGAGATATTTTGAGATAAGAATATATATTCATGTAAAAATATTTATATTATAATTCATTGTATTAATAATATAATAAGCTAAGATGGCTACAGATCTTTTGATTTTTTTGAATTGTTAAATTAATAAAGAAGCGAACATCGTAAAAATTAATTGCAGACGTTCGTGTAAAATAAAAAATATTTTGCTGAATTATCTATTAATAGGTTTCCACGTGTAAAGTTTTAAACTTAATATAAAGTAGTTTTTTCGCTAATCACGAGCTTGCTGACTATCACTATTTTGACTTTCTTTATAACCCGAAAAATGTGTATTATTCTCTTGATTTTAATAAATTATTATTTTATTTTTTAGAACATATGATTATAATCTCTTTTGTTAATATTATTACTCGGATAGTTTTATTTTACTATTAATATAATCAATTTTTATTTCATTTTATTTTATTTAGCATATTAATTTATTATTAAATTTGAATTACTCAAATACCTATTTTTAAATGTCAATTTCAAAAGTTAATTCTTTTTTATCGCTAATAAAACATTATACTACGAGTATATTGAAGAGAATAAAGCCATTCCATGCGGTCGCGATTTTTATATTTATTTTTCTTTAATGGAATTTCGTATCTTCAAAGACCTCTCTCTCACTGAGACTAATTAAATTCGGCAAGAAATGGCAAGAATAATTCCACGCGCGAAATATTATTTTCTTAGATAAGTACGTGTATGCGAAAAAAAGCCGTTTAGTTAGTTGGCAGGATAAATTAATTAAACAAATTTCATGTCTCTTAATAATAATAAAACCGCTTCTCTCTTTCTCTCTCTCTCTTTCTTTTTATTTTCCATACGAATTTCATCTTCTTTCATTTTCTCTTTAATTTTTCCGAAGAAAACAGGGATCGCTCACGTTCGTTTATTTGCACTATTATATCGAATAATATTTCAATATCAACGAATTGTTATTTTTTCATTACAATTTTACGTATCATATTTTCATTTCTTTTTTATTTCTTTTTTTCTATTTATTATTATTTTTATTTAATTTTTTCCTTCGTTGTCGAGAAAGAGATACGTCTTTTACGAGGCACTCGTAATATATCGCACATTTTGATCGCATTATTTTATGATTATTCTTATATGCACTTTAACGTTTTGGAAATTATGATTTTTTTTTTCGCGCGTTACATTACGCAGTTTTTATATTTATTTATAATAAATCGGATAGTATAATCGAAATGCTCGACCTCGTTACAACGATTCTATCGGTTTGATGGCATTTTCGCGCGAGTTATTTGCGGTTGCCGTGAAATTCATACTGATATTTAATCAATGCTCAATGATATTCAACGCGTATTCAATATCGCTCATTGATACCACTCGTTTATCTCGTTCACCGCAACCGGCGTCTGACAGCTCTCAGAATTGACCTTCTAGTATGACGTAATTCTGCACGTTTTGCATAATTTTCTTTTATACATATAATATGTACATATAAAATTTTAGTTTCACTTTATTATATATAATTATTTAATTATATAAGCGATAAGGGACTCGGTTATCAAAAAGTCAAAATTTAAATCATTTTTTTAAGACGAAGAGGATAGGACGAAAAAGAGCTATTTTATATTTTTCTTATATATTTATTATTACTTTTTTATATATTTATACTTTATGGCACGATAATAATTACATTTACAATAATAAAATTAGGAAATTATTATTATATCATTCAATTGTTATCAATTTGAAGGTCCTCGTAGAATTAAATTGGTAAAGAATTAATTTGATATCAAATAGTTAAATTATTTAATTTACTTTTAATTGTGAAATAAAATAATTATTGGACTTTACGATTAAATGGGGAGCGGTATAAATCAAACTATTTAATTACGTTTATGAAGATTGCATGATTCTGAATTCGAGTAAGGGAATACTTGAGAACGGAATAAAACTGAATACCGTAATATTTGAAATGTAATATTCCATGGAGACTTTCAAATGGACAGTGTTTTAATTTCCGTTATTTCGTTACGTGACTGCGTGAGAGCTCAGCGAATATATATATATATATATATATATATATATATATATATATATATACATGCACACATACACGAAAATATGAGCTTTAAATAGCGGCTTTTTGCAGGACACTATTGTGGAGAACGAGATTACGATGTACATTCAGTAAGCTGTCCGTACATTATAATAGTTACAAATTTAATGCTTCCATTTCGAGCGTGTTAATAGGTTAAGCTCACCGCACAATACCGTGTGAAAATTTTTAATTAAAAGCATTTCTTACACATATACACATACATACACATATACTCGGATTTTCCGGTATTATCACCACAGTAACGATGATATATAGTATAATAGATGTCTCTCATCCGTTGACATCTAAAATGAAAGTAATTAAATGCACAATCTAATCCCAGTAGCATGTATTAATAGGATAAAATTCTATTAAGTGGACATGTAGGGACTCGCCAATTTTATTTTAATACGACAGAGCAAGTATGAAAATTCTAACTAAAAGCTGAAGACTAGAATCTATTCTCTCACACATACACAGTATAGAGACATAATGTTATTAATATCTAAAATTAACCAAAGTTACCTAACTTTAATAGACAGTATTAACGAGTTCAAATTTAATTAACTGTACATTTACTTTCATTCTATACGTGAAAGCGTTCTGGTTTATTCAATATCAAAATATATTAATTCTATAGAAATGAAGAATCGCATGCAAAATTAAGTATTGATAACGAAAATATTAATTCTTTGGAATTATATTAAATTAAATTTATCTCTAATTTACTGATTTGATTTTAATATGAAGAAAGACGCACGAAAAGGATTAAAGGATTGATATCCGACGAAATGATCGAAATAGATTATGTAGAAAGACGTATACGTCTTCATCAAGACATCTGCGATTAATGGTGATTAAACGTCGTTATTGCAAGTCCGGCATGCAATTTCGCGCCCATTATTCATGCGCGTCGCGCAAGAGCCGCAGTTCGGCAATCCTGCCACGATTATCCTCCAAATTTCCAAACGAGGGGGCTGATAATTCATACCGCCGCTCGGCTTGTGCGCCGCATTATTCCGCATGGCTCGTTACAATCCCCAACCAATATTCTCATGGGACGCGCAAATTCATTTTACGATGTGCCCTCATTGTTATCGAAAAGCATAGATCGCGATTAGTTGGTTGATGGCTCAATTAATGATGTTAATTGTTACAACCGATTGTCTTCCGATTGTAGGATAAAATCTTTCGACAAAATTAATTGCGAGATGCTAAGGGAAATTTTAACAGAATTAATTGAATTGTGAAGAAATTGTAACAGAATTTGCATCTTATATATTATTCAATTAAAAGTTGTATTTATTTCTGTAATAAAAT